TGATAGCCATGTATCAATGGTGTTTAGCTATTACTAACTAATTTGGACTATACCTTATTCTTTTTAATAAAAGATGGAAACATGTAGTCTCTGAGGATTGAATTACTCTACAAGTAATCGTCTCCTGCGGATTTCCAATGAGCTTTCATGGAAGGATTCTAATATAATGCATCCCCAAATGCTAACTTACAATGATAATATTATTGAAGCACTCCCCCCCTTTTATTTTTTTTGTCTTTTTTGTCTGTTTTTTGTCTAGACAAAAAGGACAAAAAGGACAAAAAGGACAAAAGGAAAACGTGCTTTAGGTAATTTATGAAACCGTAAATTTCAATCAACCATGGGTTATGGTCTAATGGCATGACGGAGCTATTTGGATAATATAATTGATGGCTTTCCCACGATTAAATAATATTAGTTTCTGATTACTACCTCCTTCATTAATTTTACTATTAGCTAGTTCATTAGTAGAACAAGGAGCTGGTACAGGTTGAACGGTGTACACTTAACATTGTAGGACTACCTATTGATACTTCAGCTCTAGGTTCGAATGCTTGATTAGCAGGATTTATCGAAGCAGATGGATCATTTTAAGTTCGAACTAGTCTTTCTACTAAATACCCACTGCCCCCTTTTTCTTTTCTAAAATCTAGTTAAAAACTTACAGGAATGTCCTTGCAATTCACCCGATGCTTCATTAATTATAGATAAATTAAAATGAGGACCTATTTATATTTTACCTAATTATTTATCATCATTTTATGTTGCTTTTTATCTCTATCTAATAGACAAATAACTAGTGAGAATCAACAAGCCCCTTGGGAAAGGGAGGGGATTCGAAAACAATGCTTACAAATATATAAATGCCAACAAGGTGCGTCAGCTACTATGCTGGGGTTAGTGGTCTAGCGGTTTACGATTCTCGCTTTGGGTTAGAAAATGCGAGAGGCCCGGGTTCGAATCCCGGCTGACTCCCTGGACTTTTTGGTATTCAAGTCGCCAATCCTCTCGTACGGGTAAAGGGCTTTTGGCCCCACCCCCCAGTTTTTTTGCAACCCAAACGACCGGCATTCCGGGCTCCGGTTTTCCGTCGAGCTCTCTGCAAAATGCCAGGCCGATTTCACAGGTTTTGGGATCTTCTTTAGGAATTTCAAGTGCTTCGAGCTTTCATTCGAGTCGAGCTAGGTAGGTAGTCAAAAAAGATGAAGAACGCCAAACTGGGGGTGAAACTTTCGTACACATAACTAGGGGAGGAAGGGGGCACGTGCGTCGATAGGAGGGGTGAGATGGAGGTGGAAGGAGCAGAACTTTCACAATGGCTAAGGACGAGCGCGCCGTGGAGGACAAAAAGAGGAATATCTCGATGGTGATATGGGGCGAGATCCCGCAATCGTCGACGGCGGCAAAGGTGGATACGGTCAAAAGTGAGGAAAAGCGTCGAGTTCTAAGGTGGTCCTCCCGCTCCACTTGACGATGACGTTTGTGAGTAACTGTCAAAACCAAGACCAGAAGTCAGTAGGTACAAAGACGACGTTGGTAGTGAGTATCGGTACTGACAGGAACAAGTTGTTGGTTGCGGCGATCGCGATCGTGCTCTCCCGTGGGTGCCAAGAAGCTGTATCACACCCAATAAAATCAGCATCAGCATCCATCATTCGTCCCAGACTTTCCTCGTCCCACAGCTAAAGTACTGGACCATGCAGAATCTTCTTATTAAAGTCGATCGAATCGACGTCGATGATGGGCTTCTTGTTGGCCCCCTGCGCGCCTTTGGCGCCCGCACCTTGCTTGGCCTTGTTGCCCCCAATCTTCTTGGCCTTGAACGCCGACTTGTCGGCCTGCAAGACGATGTCGGTCGTCGCTTCCTTGTCGTAGATGTGGAAATGGTTGTTGTAAGAGCCGGAAAGGACGTGTCTGTTGATGCGGAGAGGGGTGGAGGCGCGAGGGTCGCAGAGCAAAATCAACTGGTCAGTACACCGATCCACGTTGATCAACCACAGAATCATGAACAACTCACTGCCCATCACCAGAGAATGTGCATTCGAACTTGTCAAAGATGCAATCGTTCTCGTACAAATCGCACAGCTTGGACCTCAGATGGTCATGCACGTTGATCGTTTGTACAGGTCGCGATTCCATGTTGATGTCCCAGATCCGGAGCGTCAGATAGTCACGCGAGAGAATGTAACGCCCGTCTTTGGAGAACTTGACGTCCGAGACGGACGAGATGATCTCGCTGAAGAAGGACTTGTTCGACGGATCCTCCTCCTCTTCGTACACTGGCGACACCGTGATCGATGACCAGAGTCAGCCCCACCTTCAATTCATCCATACCCTTCCCACGTATTACAGTCTCGACTCACGCTTCGCATGCTTATCACACAGGGCCTGTTCCCGCATGTCGGCGAGTTTGACCGTCCCTTTCGAACTCGAATAGCAAAACAGGTTGCATGAGATGGGGGTGAAACTCGGCCGCGGTGATGACCTCGGTCAGCTCCTCCATGTTGACGGGTTTGATATCGAGGATGTCTGTCAATGCAAAAAAGCGCACCATGGATCAGCTCATCGAGCCAGCGATGTTCGACTCGGGCGGTCGACTCGCTCCGGTTCAGACCTTCCCAAGGCGACCTTGCACTCACTAAAGCTCTGATCACTAATGTTGAGGTTCCACAGGTTAACTCTCAGATCATCGGCACTCATGTAGGTCTCTCCATCCGAGTTGATCGAGATCGAGTTGATATGGTACGCATGCGCGTTCGCATAGACCTTCCTCGGCACGGCCGCGACAATCGTGTCGTGGTAGGTCATACGCGGCAATCGGAGGTACGGTGTCCCGTTCGAAGTGGTCGTTGCCCGCGTTGGCGAGGACGGCGTCAGCCCCGGGATCGCGATCGGTGGAGGCGGTGGTGGCGGCGACGAGGTGGAGCTCCCCCCGCCAAGCGCGTTCGAGTTGGAGGCGATCGAGCCATTGTTCTCTGCGACGACTTTGAGCGATTTCTCAAACACTTCCACAGTTTGATTGTCTTGTCTGTAAAGATCGTCGGGAAGCAGCACACGTCGTCAGCTCAGAGCTTTGAAGGATGGTGGACGTGATCTCGGCGGTCGCGGTGTGTGTGGTGGTGCCACCGGGAGGCGGGGTGCGACGCCCGCCCGCGCGCCGCGTCTGCCAATTGCACAAGCAGCGGCCTCGCTCGCTGAGCCTCCGGCTGGCCCAAACTGGCTGGGTTGGCTGGCGCACAGGCGCGGGAAGGGCGCGGGTGGGCAACGGGGCGCGAGTGTACCGGTCCGAGAAAACGATGCGAGCAAGATGCATGCGTCGCAGTACTCCAACGCCACATCACCCCGACCAGAAGAAAACGAGTCCCGAATCATGCGGAAGGAAAGGGTAGTGGTTGCTTGCAACTTGCCATTGGTCGAGAGCAGGAAGTGGGCGGCATTCTGCCTCTTGCACCATCGGATCTTGTTGATCTTCTCCTCGATCTCGAGCGACTTGAGGTAGTCGAACTCGGGTTCGTGCGACTGGAACTCGGTGTAGAACTTGTACTCGCACCCCTTCTTGGTCTCGTTGCGTTCAAAGAGCACAACGCGGCCGCCCTTGTCCCCCGTTGCGAGATAGTCACCCGTGTGATCGAACTCGACCGTGGCTGTGATGGTTTGTGGGAATCGTTCGGGCGAGAAGCAAATTTGAAGTCAGTTCTCCGCAATGGCTTGTGAGCTACCCCTGGAGACGAGGGTGACCGGACGCAGGGCCTTTGGATCCGGACCGATGACGCTGACCGATACGGCCGTCTGCCTGCGCTGGCTACCTGCGACCCCTTCCCGTTGCCGGACTTACAAATGATATCAGCCTCGGTGATATCCTCAACTTCACCCTATTGCGAGAGAGATCCGGACCAAGTCAGTCGCATGGCTTGGAAGAAGAGCCCCTGGGCCCTAGAATCGGAAGGGGCCACCACCACGACCCAACTGACCTTGTCACCGAAGCACTGTGCGAATCTCCACCCCGCATCATCGGCGGATGTGACGGTCGGCGTCGACATGTTTGGTGTAGCCGTGGTCGGAAAAGGCCGATTCACAAGCTACGTTGGATGAAGGAGGCGGATCGCGGAGATGGGAAGGCTACGATGGCGCGACGATGAGGGGGCGAGGCCGGGTTGGCTGGGTGGGGAATGCGTCGAGGCGGGCGTGAGTGATGTGGGGAGAGACGACGACGACGACCACCGACGACAGCGAGAAACGCTCTGACGTTTTCGACAGAGAGAGGTGCGCGTGATGGACACGCACACACACACAGGAACACACACAGGAACGTGGATACAAGTAGTGTCTGTTGGGAGGGGAGGGGAGGGGTTGAGTCTGAGTGGTCGGTGCGCGGCGATAGGACAAGAGTATGTGTGCGAGGCGTGGGGCGAAGAAGCAAAGGGCTGCAACAAGCCATGTGCAGACCGTTCCAGGGCGCACGCTTCCTCGTGCACGGGCTCGTACGGGCGCACGTCAAACGCCCAGTCGAGCTGCGCGCGGTGGTGCGGTGGCCAAACACGCCCCTGCGCCTTCTCGTTCGGGGACGGGAACGATTCCTTCCAAGGATTCGGACACGCCAGAACGGTCGAGATGACTTGCTCCAGTCGGCGATCAACTCACTTGACATGTGAATTCCAACTTTAGATGAAGTCCCGTGAGTCGGGTGTCCTTCGGGAACTCGACGCGAAAGGAGAAGAGAGGATGACGCCGAGTTTTCGGATTATCGGCTTGGTCGGGATGATCCGAGGAGATGTCCCGAAGTCACTTGTCATCTAGGGGCTGCTCTTGTGTTTGGGCCTCCCAGATTATGACGAGTCGAGGATCAACAAGACGTGATTTCAGCCCGACCTCATCTCATGTGGGGAGCCACGTGAGTCAAGTCGAGGAAGAGATAGGGAGGGCCGCCCTTTACGGCCGAACTTCAAGTTGTCGACGCTCGAAATCGAGCCTTTGTAAGCATCGGGGATATCCGAACCGGTTCATACAGCACCAATCTCAATCGACGTCATAAGAATATCATGCTCCATTCCCCGCTCAAAATGAGCACAACACACGCGACCCCTCTTATCCTCACCACCCAAAAATCGCATCACTAACCTTGCCCAACACCCCCTTCCCGCCCGCGTTCCCCGTCCCAGCACCCACGACCCCCGTCGCATTTCTCTGTGCGATCCTCTGCTTATCCTCAAACAAATTCGCATACCCATCGCCTCCCTCTCCTTGGAAGCAGGTGTCCCCGACGAAGCTGCTACTTGCGCGGCGGAGGAAAGAAAGGATTTCTTGGGCGTGGCTTTGAAAGCTTGTTGTGGGCCTCGGACGTTGACGGGTCGACTACTAGACGAACCAGCGCCGACGGCGTTGAGACCGTTGGCTTTCCCCATGGCTTGGAGGTTCGACCCTGCACCCGTTATGGTATTCGTCGACGTGGTCGTCAAGGCACCTTCCCTCTCGCCTTCTCCGACCCCATTCCCAAACGAGTTCGTCCCCGAAACCAAAGCAATCGCTTTCCTCAATTCGTCCTCATCCACCACCTTGACCCCGACCATCAACACCCTCCCCAAAACGACCCCATTCTTCCGACTCGCTCTCAACGCCGACGAAGGTTCGCTATAAATCAGCGTGAGCCAATTACCTCCTTCCTCCGAGGTCTTGTATGATTCGACGCTGCCGAATTGGGAAAAGTAGGACAACACGGTTTCGGTTGAGGTGGAAGGAAATCCAAAGATGTGGACGGGGTATCCGGGCGAGTTGGTAGTGTGCGAAGAAGGTGCGGGAGCGAGAGGGGTGTGGGTCGGAGAAAAGGGGGACGAGGAAGCGTTCGTCGCCGAAGTGAGGGAAGAAGGGAGGGTGTTATTGTCCGAGGTGAATTCGTTCAGCGACGAAATGGGAGGTGCGTCGTCGTCCATGGCGTTTTGGGACGAGAGATGGCTGTTGCGACCGTAGGGGAGTTGACGGGCGGTGAAACTCGATGGTGAACGGGCGGGATTCGAGCTGTGGGAGGCGTCTCGTCAACGACTTATGAGTGCTGAAAATTAAGAACCGGTCCACGCGGAACACTTACGCATCCCTCTGAGAAGAGATTCCGAATAAGGATTGACTCGCCCCGAACCGGGATCCAGGCGAGCCGGACAAGGACGACCTCCGATTGATGCTCGACTCGGAGGCGCTCGGCATGGGCGAATCCCATGCACTCGTGCCTACTCGCGAGTTATCTTGGTGGTTGAAGGAGGGGGAATCACCGCTCGAGTCGGACTGGACAGATGATCGAGTAAGGATCAGCAGCTGGGCGGTGAAAGAGCGAAGAGCGAAAAGACTGACTGGTCCCAGAGCGGCACCACCCGAAAGGTATCCAGGGAGGTAGTTCTTGCGAGGAGGTTGGGAGCCCAAGGGTGTACCCTGGTTCGATAAACCCCCCGTGGCGGGTGATGCGACATTGGTGTGGTGGTTGTAGCTCGATTGAGCGGGCTGGTTCCAGCTCGAGTAAGCCTGCGAGTTACCAAAGACTTGTCCTTGGCCTTGTTGTGCCTGCTGTCCGTGCTGCTGCTGTTGACCATGTTGTTGTCCCCGCACTTGTTGCTGATTGGGTTGTGTACTGTAGAAGGAGGAAGATGCGCCCAGGATGGGTTCTGGTTGGTGGTCGAGGTCGAGGCCGGGTTGAACGACGTCCCACCGGGCGACGAGGTGTTGTTGGCGCCCGAGGTGGTGTTGCCGAACGCGCCGAACGAGTTGTTGCGGAAAGGCGACGAGTTTTGACTGGGGTGCGAACATGGGGCTCGTTGTGGTGGCTGCGGTGTGGTCGCAGAGCAGATACGGAGGAGAGGGAAGGCCGTGTCGAGCGTTGTCGAGCGCGCTCGGCTCGAATCGGCTCGAATGCTCTCGTAGCGACGAGCGCGATGACCGGCGATGATGACCTGAATGCGCTTCTGGCTTCCTTCTCATCTCAACGCATACCCGATTCCTCAACCACGGCCATGGCGTTCAACCCTTTGTCCGCGTTCGCACGTCAACTTACACCACTACGATCGCGCTGCCCATCTTGCTCCGGCGCCTTGCTTCGAGCCAGCACCTCTTCCTCCTCCTCGGCCGTCCTCCTCCGCCCACACTGGTCCGTCTCCACCTACGCCACCTCGAACGCCCCCAAGCGACCACTCCAAAAATCGACCCAAATCAAGACGAGGACATACCTCTCCGCCAAATCATCCTCGTTGACCCCGAAACCAATGCGCTCCTCCCCCCCGCCCCACTGCGTACGATCCTCTCCCAACTCGATCGCACAAGATACAGCATCCTCCTCGTCGCTACAGATAAAGGGATTTGCAAGATCTTGGACAAGAAGAAGGAATACGACAAGAAGAAGGACAAGGCCCAAGCGATCAAGGATAAGAATGAACAAGCTCGGAACAACGCTTCACCGTCGTCTTCGGGCGGCGGTGGAGCCTCCGTTGCGACGGGGAGTCCACCCAAGGAAATTCAAATGACCTGGGGTGTCTCGACGCATGATTTGGAGCACAAGTTGAAAAAGGGCCGACAGTTCTTGGAGAAGGGGCATAGGGTTACGGTCATCATCCAAGAACAAGGCGGGTGCGCCGCACGTCCCAAAGGAGGCTCAGGATACGGTCATTAGGAATGTCGAGGAACGGTTCGCAGAGGTCGGCAAGTTGAGTAGGGATCCGATTTACAGGGGGACGTGGGTCTATCTGGAGTTTACGAGGAAGTAACGCGCAGGACTACCTTTGGTTGAAATCGAGTCTCACAACCTCGGCCCGAGCTCCGTTATGACCGAAGCGAGCGTGTCGGAAGTCGGGAAAAGGCATGTCAAGGATTTCAGAACGGGAGGCAGTATATAATTTAAAAAGTCTGTGTGACCGTGCACGCCTCGTGGCTTTGCGAGACGTCGTGGATCTCAGGGGCTCAGTTCTTGGCGGTCACAGCATCGGCGAGAAGAATCGCCGAGCCGCCGACGGGTAATCTTCCTTCCTTACTAGTAGACGACGGCAGAAGTCTTGATTACTGGTCTGCAACCGTCAGATCGAGAACGTTGAAAATTCTTATCGTGCCCAGCTTAATCGTTTCCTCCCTGCGGGGATTGCAGATCTTTTTTGCGAAGCCAAAACTCGCCGGAAAACTCGTCGAGACTCGAGCGCAAGCATCGATGATCGCATTGAGAATCGAGAGCGCGAGAGATGCGAGAGCGCGTGCTAGCGCCTGCTAGCGCGTGCGCGCGGCTCGACACGGCTGGCGGCGCGATAAACAAGGCCCCTCTTTGACCTCCCTCCTCTTCGCGTGTAAAACGACTCGGCGCAATTTCCCCCCTCCTCTCCCTCAGCCCACCCTGCGTAGCGGTAAACAAATCGGCGTCGCGTCGCTTTGCTCGCCCTCCCACCTTTGTTGGACTGCGTCGACCGGGCCGATCACTTTGGAGTTGTCGGTTGATCGTCGTGGTGTGCACGTGATCGACTAATCCTAGTAGCCCACCCCCGCGAGCGATCACTCAACCCACCACCACCACCACCACTCCGACTCCACTCCGCGTCCTCGCGCCGCCCACCTCCGACCACCGCCTACCGCGCCAACCCTCGACGCCGTACACAACAACAACATGTCGAGACCTTCCACACCCTCGGGTCGGTCGAACCTGATGGAGAAGCTTTTCAACAAGATCCGTACTCCGACTTCGTCCTCGGGAGGCGCAGCGTCGTCGTCGTCGTCCACATCGGCGAACGGCAACCACGCCCAAGGCTCGATCGGCGCGTCATCCTCATCTCCCTTTTCACTCTCCACCGCTTCTCTCCTCCGACGCAACTCGTCTCGCTCTTCATTCCATTGCGGTGGTTCCTCAGCCATGGCGTCGACCTCGTCGCTCGCTTCGAATTCATCCTCGCTCGCGGCAGGCGCTCTCGGAGCTCTAGATTTCGAGGATGACAACGATGTACCCTTACCCGAATTCGAATCCGACGCTTACCTCTCCAATGCATCATGGAACGACAATGGCTCCTCCGTCAAGGCGTCCTCTCCGACGTTCCCATCCTCATCGCCGTCCACATCGCGAACAGCCGTCAACGCCGGAGCGGGGGCGATCAGTCAACCTCGTCCTTCGTTCTCGTCGTCAGGAGGTCGACCCTCGTTCGATCAACTCGACGGACCTTTGAACAACCCACCTCGGTCCTCGTCAAGCATGTCCCGTCACTCCCCGCCGTTACCCTTCTCCAACCCGCTCTTACGATCCAACACCAGCGCCAATAGCGGAGGGGGCAGCGGTTCCTCCTCAGGGATAGGTTCCGTCGGCGTCGATAGCTCAGGTGACGGGCTGAGGAAATCGACCTTTATCAGTCGGGCTGCGGCAAACGCGAGCGGTTCGACTTCAAGTAGTAATTTGAGGACGTTGGCGAGGAGTTGGACGAAGAGTAAGGAGAAGTTGACCGGTTTCGGGGACTTTGTTGGCACGAACGAGAGCGGATTTGGTCAATGGTGCCGAGGGGAGGATGGAGCTGCTCATGCAGAGGATGCGCGTAAAACAAACGAAATGGTGAGTGTTTCAGTGTTGAAGCGATTTACAAAATGAGATCTTGGAAATAACTCTCCGGTCTCTGACCTCCTTCAGGATTCGAGATCTTCTCCGACCCTCGCCTCCTCCTTGTCGCACAGCCGAGTAACTCTCGAACGCCGAACGTCGAACGACCGCATACTCTCCGCGTCCCAACCCGCCCTCTCCACCTTCGCCACCACCACTCCAGCCCTCCCCAGACCAGGTCTGACAGCCTCGACGAAAGCGACGGGAGAACGAACAGGCGGTCGAGGATGGCTCGAACGCAAGTCCTTGATGCAGAGTCAAACTGGACGGGAGGTACGGAGGTGAAAAAGAGGAGGGCCCAGAGGGTCATTTGCAGGAGTTGATGGCGAAGAAGGAGAGGGACGGCTTGGAAGGGCCAATTAGTGATGCCGGCGATCACGGGAGAGTGGTCAGTCAACTTTCTCGATTCTCGTGATCCGGGACTGCCTGTGGCGCAGCATATTGATCACTTTCATGATCCCTTCGAGTTGTACAGCATCCGAATCGAATGCTTCGCCGCCGTTACGACCGCCCCTTTCGCCGCACAATCGATCCCGATCTGAAGTGACGCCTTCGTCGCCTCGCCTCGTGTCCAAGGACAGAGCAGCGGCTACCGTGACTATCGTCTCGTCATCTTCGACCTCATACGCCCGACCTGGTTCGTCTTTGTCGCAATACAATACCTCGTCCAGCACAGACACCTCTCCGCCGACACTCGGCAGCAGTACGCGATCACGCTCGACTGCGCAAACGACGGCGACAATGAACATAACCTCTTCGACCAACGCCGTCGCCGCACCCAAAGTCCCATCCGTTCCTACCGAAATGCCAGAAAGTAGCACGATGCTCCGCCAACGCTTCTTGGTCAGTCGAAGTTCGACCCCTTCCGAAACCTCTTCAGGTCCCTCCCCGAGTCCGCCACCCCCACCTTCAAAGCCCGCCCTCGAGAACAAGTATCGCCTTCCCTCGATGAGTCCACCTGAACGGGAAGCCGAAGGACGACCTGAATCGCCCTCGATGATGACCTACGCCGCTCGACGAGGTGCCTCGATTGATGGCGGTAACGCGTCAATGTCGAGGGAGGAAACGATCATGGCCCTCCCACCTCGTGCGGCATCAAGTATCGCCATGTATCGCGATGAGATGCCAGCCCAACCGATCCATCATGCGAACTATGCGAGCAGTTCTTTACCGAGTCGATCGACGGGTGGGGCTTTGCCATATGTCGATGATCGAGCGGCGGAGTACCAGGCTCAGAACTTCCCTGCTCGACCTGGGTCGGCGATGGAGCTGTACCATGACGAGAACGTCTATTCGTCATCACGCACAGCTACCACAGCTACCACCGCTGCACCGGTCGTCGCGCCTACGACAACGAATGGCAGGACTGTCTTAGGGGAGACGTATAGGGCTACGAACATCGGTCCTCTTTTGACGACGGCGAATGGGAGACAATACCCGCCTTCTTCCCAACCTTTTTCGACTAAGCCGACGGCGGTCCCTGCTCCGGTCGAGTATCAAGTACCTTTGAGAGATCGATCACCGGGGATGGCGGAGGCGACACCTGTTGCGTTGTACCATCAACACAACAGCAGCAACAGCAGCAACAGCAGCAGCACTACGCCCAGCAACAACAACAACAACACAAGCATATGACCCTCAAATGGAGCGCCAGCTTCTGGCACGGCAGTACCAACAAGCGCAACAACAACACCACATGACGCAACCGCTCAAACCGGCCAAGAAGAGCCCCAATGCATCATCGTCAATAACAAACCTACGCCCGCGCCGGTCTTTTAGGTCGAGGTGGCTCTTCCCGCGTCTACCGTGTCTTGGACGAGAAGAACCAACTCTTCGCGATCAAAAAAGTCGACATTTCGAAAAACGACGCCGAATCAAGGCAGAGTTTCGCGAATGAGATTTCGTTGTTGGAGAAGTTGAGGGGCAAGCCGCAGATCATTCAGTTGATCGATTCCGAGATTGGGGAGAACAAGAGGCATTTGTTGATGGTGATGGAACAGGGGGAAACGGATTTGAATAATCTGTTGAATGAACATTCGGGGAAGAAGATTAGTATGAACTTTATTCGGTATATCTGGGAAGGGGTGAGTTCTCTTGCTGTGAGGATGATGAGGGATCGAGTTTGGGTAGCTGACAAGGGCTGCTCTTCCCTCCTAAGATGCTCGAGGCCGTTCATGTGATCCACAACGAAAACGTCGTTCATACCGACCTCAAACCGGCCAACTTTGTCCTCGTCAAAGGCCGACTCAAGCTCATCGATTTCGGTATCTCCAAGACGATTGCGAATGATACGACCAACATAGGGAGGGATCAACAGATTGGGACGGCGAACTATATGCCTCCTGAGGCCTTGATTGATTCGGGAATGGGGAGGGATGGCAAGAGGTTGATGAAGGTGCGTGCGGGTATCCGTTTTCGTCATCATTCACGAAAGCTGGGTACTGACCCATATTCGATTTTCTCCTCACAGCTCGGCCGAGCCGCCGACGTCTGGTCCCTAGGTTGCATCCTTCACCAAATGGTCTACGGCCGCACGCCCTTCGCGCACATCCGCGACATCGTCAAAAGATCATGGCGATCCAGAACCCCAACTACAAGTTCGAATTCGCGCCTACCACAACGCCGTCGATGAACGAGGGGTCGAGATCCCTGACTTGCAGACGGAGTTGATCGAGGAGGTATTGGAGACGTTGGAGTGTGTCTCAAGTTTGATCCCAAGACGAGGGCAACGATCCCGGAGTTATTGGAGCATCCGTTTTTGAGAAAACGTAAGTTGGCTCTGTAGTTTGGACAATCTGAGGGTCGGGGACTGATCTTCCTATGGATTTGCAAACCTGCTCGAAGCGGCTCCACCGATCAGGGAGGAAGATCTGCATTGGCTCGTGCAGAGCGTGACCAAACTAGTGACGGGCAAGCAGCTCGACGAGACGGACATGCCCAAGGTTTCGGACGTGAGTCATAGCTCAAGGTATAGATAACCTGATGGAGGGCAATCGAGCTGACATCTTTCGCGGATTGGCGTAACAGAAATTGATGAGGGGTCTGATCGGACGCGCTCGAGGCCGGGTTTACGATCGATACAAGTGATCATTTCATCTTCAACTCCTCGCAAAAACTTCGTCCATTTCGCTGTATCTTCTCTACGCCTGTGATGGATGACCGTGCTTGCCCTCCCTTCACGACCTTGTCACGACTTTCGACTTTCTTCCCTCTCCATTTTTTTGTCACATTCTTTCTTTGTCCCCGTTGTTTACTTTGTTCTTTGTTAGCGTTTCTTTGGTTTTTCTTCTGGTTTCTTGACGCATTGTTCATAAGATGGGGATTTAGTTTGGGTGGAGTTGTCTTGGAATCTGATTGGGAGATGTGTGCTTTGGCTTTCAACGATTCCTGCTGCCGAGAGGATCACGTGGTGAGGTCTCGTCTTGACTCGGACTAATATGAAGCGAAAGCACGCGGGTCGACTTCCTTCTGTTGACTCGAACGCTGCAGGCGTCGGATCCATCGAGGACGGTTCCGTTGTTTTTACGACTCTTTTCTTCCTACTTCTCATATACCATTATACGAGAGGCTGTAACCATGGCCAGCGACGAAGTCCGCCTTCAACAAGCTCAGACACCCCAGCTCCAAGTTCTCCTCCACCTTACCGTCCGCCTTCCTCGCATACTCTGCCCATCCTGCAATCCCTCATCCAATCCACTTCCTTCCGTATATGTTCCCTCACCCGCACCCTCTACCTCCCCATCCCCCACCCTCGCTCACCCTGTCGCTCACCCTTCCCAACCCCTCGACTTCGCGCCCCTCCACCGAACCCTGACGACCCTTCCGTCGCCCTGCAACTCGAAGGACCTCCGTACCCTTACACAGAAGACCAAGCTCGGGGTGGATCAAGAGTAACACGGAGAAGTATGAGAGAATAGTGGCGAGGTGGATTGATGCGGGTCGGATAGGTTGGGATGAGGAAGGTTGTCCGGTCGGTAATTTGAGATTAGGGGAGGGGGCGGGGGCACGTGGTCGGGGATCTAGGGTCGTTAGAAAGGGTGGTGATGCAAACTTTAGGGAGGAGGATGGGAATGTGGAGCAGGATATAGTGTGGAGTTATGGATGTGAGTGTCTTTCAGAGCGGCGTCTCGAGGTTGGGGAAGGCTTCCACTCCAACTCTGGGTTTTGTTTGTATTGCGAACAGTCTTCCTCGCTCCGCAATATCACCGACAAGGCATCATGGCCGCAGCATTGAAATGCATTATCGAATCTTATTTGCTACCCGTCCTCAAGGCAAGACACATCCGATCCTGTGCATTCGAGGATAATTGGGGATCGCGCAGGACACAAGAAAATGCGGATGAGGAGGCTCCCGGACGAGGATCATGAAGTGGATGTCGCAGAGTCCAGAGGTGGGGGCAAGAAGGTGCATGTCCAGTTCGAGTATGTTCCACGGTAGGGTGTATAATCGATGAGCAGCCCCTCCGCAATGAACGTAAACTTGGAGCAAGCTTGGGAAACAAATCGGGAGGTTGGCATTACATGTCCTCGGTCGAGTACGCATGAGCTTCGGCTGACCGCATCTTGCGTGAATTGATCTTTTGCATGTAAGTCGCTTCGAATCCGTTGCTCTGATGGTCATGCGCCGCTGATTAGCGACTAGCTTTTACGCGGTTAACGACATCGACGCAAGCTACTCACTCTGTCCACTCCATCCCACCGATAGCCGGGGGGATACCGAATCGATTCGGTGCGGGCATCGGTCCAGTGTACTTGGGGTATTTGGGCCCTGTTGATATGTCCTTCTTCTTTTTCTGTGCGGAGTTGGTTGGGAGGGAGATATGAGCTAACATTCGCCAGCCGATGATTTCGAACGACTCGCGACTCGACGCACCGTGAGAAAGTTCGCGGCAGGGTCGTTCCACCTCTCGCGATCCTTCATCTCCTCATTCATGTCCTCGTCATCAGCATACCTCGCCATAGGAAGGTTGGCCATCTTCTCCCTCTCCTTCTGGCGCTGTTCCTTCTCCCCCCTCTGAACGAGCCCTTTCCCCCATTCCATCTTTCTAATCTCCTTTTCCAACTCTTCCCTCTTTTGCTTGGCCTTTTCCGCTTTGGCCAACTTGAGATCAATCTTGCGACCGACGATCTCGATACGTCGGATAATCATCGTCGCCTTGTACATCCTCGTCTAGCGTCTCCCCTCGTTCCCTCAATTCCCTCTTGCGAGCTTCGAGTTCGGCATCAGCCTGCTTCTTCTGCGCCGCGAGTTCGACATCCCTCCTAGCTTGTTCAGCTCGTAAAGAGGCTGCTGACTGTAGACCGCCTTTTGAGGGTGGTGGTGGTGGCGGTGCAGCGTCTTGTACGACCGAACCGACAACGACCGGTTCTTCGTCCACGGGTTCCGGGGAAGGTGTACGAACGTACGCGGGCTCGTCAAAGGCCGCTTCTCGGATCGTGGACCAGGAGGAGGCGGTGCTGGCTTTGGCTTTGAATTGACCTTTTTGTGGTTCGACGACTGGGAGCGTGCGATGCAGTGGAGGACGGACGGGGGTCAGCGCCTCGGTGCTCTTCAAGTCACGACCCCGGGGCACGACAGGACACGTGATCGCCAACTTGAGAACATCACACTCACCTGGCCTCCCATCATCTTCATCGTCGTCATTCTTCTTCCTCGCCCACTCCATCCCATCCATCATCATCCACAATCAATCCCCCCTCTCTCCTTGAGTCTGACCGTACGACGTCGATGCTTCTCCTCCGGACGATGCTATCGATTCAGATTCGACCTTGCGCTTCTTCTTCTTTCGCTTCTCCGATGGTGAACCTGAGCGTTCTAGAATGGCATCGGCTTTCGCTCCGGTCATGTACCTGGCTGCGAGGTACGCTTGGAGGTCGCTCATCGCTTCCAAGGTCGTCCTCGGCTGATGGGGTGGGGCGTGGGGCGTGTGGGGGGGGGGGGGTGGGGGTGCAACACAGAGAGACAAGTAAACTTGTTGCTGAACTCTGGACCGTACCTGCAGGTGTAGCGTCGTGTTCGAGCGTGACCAAGTGGGGGAAGGGAGACAGTAGACGGAGCCTCGGCGCCCATCCCTCAGGGGCAGGGGGAGTGAAATATCCTAACCAGAATATCGTTTAGCAAATAGAGCAGGTTCAATTTATTTTCTTTCGTTCATAAAGAAAAGATGGACAAAACTACTGTAGGGAGTCGGGACTTGAACCCATTCTTTTAGGCCACTTATTACACTATAGTATGGCCGAACGGCGCCCGAGTTCATAAGGCGCGCCGTTAGCGCGCGGGCGCGCGGGCGGCTGCGGGCGGTTTTAGCGCGTGATCTCCTTTCCGGAGCGACCGAGCGCGAGTCTGAGGCTTTGTTCTCTTTGCTCTGACATACACAGCGTCCGAGGCCAGTCGAGGCCCTTGTGTGCTGGGTATCTACTCCGGCTCCTCTCGTTCGAGTGCCCTTCGTGGGTCGGCTATCGATTGACTCACTCGAGTGCTCCGCCGCCTGCGCGATTCTCGTCTTTTGCTCTCGGGACACCAAACACGACGCCCCGTCGCCGACACGGAGCCGGACCCAGACTGGTCAGCGGCACGAACGCCCTTCGAGTCCACACCGCTTACCGCTTGCGACTTCTTGGACCAAGTTTTTTCCGTTTCGCCGCACAATCTTGTACGTGCTGTGCCTGGACCGCGACTCATACTTGTGTTGTCGTACCGACCGAGGCCCTCGCCCTCGTTCCGCAGAGGTTACGCGTCGACTCGCGTGTCGTTCGCACTGCATCGTCGACTCGCGTGTCGTTCGCACTGCATCGTTGACTATCGGCGTCGACGATCGCCCATTCATTCCGCCGCTCGTAGCGCACCAACAGTAACAGCAGCAAGCGTGGACACCACTTTGAATACCAACTAGGCTACCGGCACAGTGAACAAGTCTACAGCAACACCGTCTGGCCGAGCTCCAGCCGCGCCGTCTCGCCGTCTCGCCAGCCTGGCCGATCGCCCGCCTGCCCACTCACAGCGCTCACCGGTCACCCCACTTCCGAGCCAGTCAGGCGTGAAGCTCCCTCCCCGAAAGCGAGAGCGACGTCGGCGCCGAGGGCCATCGTCGACTTCGACACCCGCTCCCACTTTGAGGGATGATCTCGGGCATCCTCAGTTCGAGCCAAACCATATCCACACCAGCTCAATATTCCCCCCCAGGACCCGACCAATGCGAATGCCGTCGCTGGGCCGTCCAAGGTGCACCAGCACCACTCGGTGAAGGCGATCTTGAGCAGCTGCCGGGCTCGGACGCAATCGTGGACGCGATACTAACGTCAACGTCCAACAACACCAACACGACCTACTTGACAAGACGGCTCTCTCGGTCCAGGCCTCGTACATCGTTTCATGCAAGATCCTCGTCGTCCGAGATACAACCGCCACCTCCGATACGGTCGAGTCCATCCAAAGCCTGCCTCAACGATGACTCGGCACCATCAGGCTCGAGCTACCGCTTCCCTCTGGCCAAGATTTCAACCACGCTCGAGCATCTCCCCCCGCTTGATCAGACCGCCGCCTCCTCCCCTGCGGCATGTACGAGTGGCCCTGTCTGACGTCGAACCTCTCATCGCCCATCTCGATGCAATAGCTCTGGAACGTGATCGATTGGGTCGACACCGGTTACGGACCGACTCGAGCGAACAGAGATCGACACCGCCTCCGACCTCGCCGAGAGAGATGCTCGATTTCGCCGATTTTGTCTCCGAGACGTTCCGGCTGCAAGACGCTTCTGCACAAGGAACGAACGCCGGAGCTGGTACTGCACCAATGGAGGATCACATCGATGGCGGGGTTGACTATCTCACACCTATGCAGAGAGGATCGTTCCAACTTGCGAGGCCTTGACGCCGGTGCAGAACCATACGACGTATCAGTTCCCCCGCGTCGAGACCATGTCGTCCTTACCTATTTCCGGATATGGTCCCTCGTACACCACGGACGTCGTCACTTCATGCGACGGATCTACAGCGATTGATCAGCAGTCAATCGTGCGATGGGAGGAGCATTGATCTGATCGACTTCGAATCGCCTTCGAGGAAATCGCTCGTTGTCACGATGGGGTTGGGCTGGAGTGCCATCAGCACTGCGGCGGAACTTTCACCGCTACATACGGCACATCAGCTGTCCGACCATGGTCCCAACTCGGCTCCACCTACACCTTCGTCACGTCACGGGGCTCGGTGACGAACAGCATCCCTTTCCTCCTGGCTCAGCGCGTCTCGGACGATTCCACTTCCCCCTATCCGGGGCCGAGTCGACTGATCCCCACCAAGGCCAAGTCGAAACTTCTTCAGATGAAGGCATCCACCTCCCATGGCCAATCAATCGATGGATGATAATGAAGAGGCGCTCGATGACGAGGAAGACGAAGAGGACTTGACCGAGGACGAAGAGGACGAGGACCCCGACTCGCACCCACTGTACGTTCTATTGTCATCTTCGGCGATCCCCGTCCTGCGCTCAGCCTGGGATGCGGCGACTCTTATTCTCGTCCCCCCAAGACGAACCTTGCCCTCCCTCGAGGCACTGACACCACGGCGAGAAAGCGCGGCCCCTGCTTTCGAATTCGTGCGAGGTGGCAAAGGTGTCGCGGGCGAACAAGCGGGTCGGGACGTGGAGAAGGAACGTCAGATGTCGATCACCTACGTTGCGTTGCATGCATTCAAACCTTTGGAAAATGACGAGGATGCGGCACCTGGAACGACGAGTTGGAGGAGCGTGATCGCTTCGAGGAAGGTCATTGTCGTGCGAGGTTGATACCGGGTCAGGGGACGGCTTTGATTGATTGGATCGAGATGCCGGGTCCGATCCAAGGCATCAAGTCGGCACAGTCAACTTCGTCCTTTGCCTCGTCCGGCTCTGACAATGGCTCCAAAATTGGATCGACTCAAGCACGCTCGCCTCAATCACCGACTGCTGCTGTCGTCTCTCTCGCTCGAAATTCCTTCTCCTGATCACGCCCGTCAAATCACTTCGGATCATTGCCGAGACAACTATTTATCGACGCCCTCGTCAGATCATCGCAGCCACGAACCCTCCCCTGCGCCATCGACACTGTCGGCTTCGACCAACTCGACCCTCGGTAAGTCTTCCGGCTCATCTTCTCTCCACAAATCAGGGTTCAGAACGCCCAAGTGGTTCAGAAGGAGCATCTCATCCGCCATCCCGACGCTGAAAACATGGCCCGAAAAGACCGATGCCGATTTGAACCCACCCTCTTTTGTGACACCGACTCTCGCGCCCGTTCGAGAAAACCAGCAAATCTGGACCCATGTTGGAACGGGTGCGAGTTCTCGCCCTCGGGGGCGGGATCGTCATGCGACGAGGTT